CTTGATCCCCTCTGCACAGCACTTCCTGGAGATGGGAAGGAGGTGTGAAGGTTGATAATGCCGTCTGATGCTCCTCTCACAGCCCTTCTGCCTGAAAAAAGCCTTTCTGGGTCTCCCGTGAGAGTCAGTGAAGAATTTCAGGCCAAGTGAGGGAATTCCCTGGCGGTCCAGTGGTTCGGACTCCATGCTTTCACTGCTGAGGGTGTGGGTTCCATCCCTGTTAGGGCAACAAAGATCCCTCAAGCCGTGTGATGTGGCCGAAAAAAAAAAAAGAGAGAGAATTTCAGGCCAAGTAAGAGGCGGACCATACCTGGCAGCAGGCTTTCGTAACCCCAGCACTACTGGCGTTTAGGGCTGGAACGTTCTCTGTGGTCCGGGGCTGTGCTATGCATTGTAGGATGTCTTGCAGCAACCCTGGTCTCTACGTGCTAGAAGCAGTAGCACTACACACTCTGCACCCCAACTTGCAATGATCAAAAATGTCTTCAGAAGTTACCAGAGGTCCAAGTCATCCCCAGCCGACAACCATTCCCTTAGAGGGCACTGCCTATCTCACCCGCTCCAAAAAACTGGGCCTCCGGATTAGGGCTAGCTGTGATTAGAACAGACCCCTTGGGGTCCAGCAGATGGAATGACTGACCATCTCCTTCTGGAATTCTGTTAGGGTGACAGCACGTCTGGGGTCAGACATCCCCAGGCGGCAGTGGACACTGTATGGACTGAGTGTTTGTGTCCCCTACAAATTCGTACATTGAAGACCCAACTCCCAGTGTGACTATATTTTGAGATGGGGCCTTTAGGGAGGTGATTAAGGTTAAATGAGGTCATAAGGGCTTGACCTTAATCCTGTAGGGCTGGTGTCCTTATAAGCAGAGGAAGAGACACCAATGCTCTCTCTTCCTTTCTCCACGTGTGCGCCCAGAGGCAAGGCCGCGTGACAACACGATGAGAAGACAGCTGTCCGCAGGCCAGGAAGAGAGGTCTCGCCAGAAACGGACTCTGCTGGGCTTGATCCTGGACTTCCAGCCTCCAGAGCAGTGAGATAGTAATGTCTGTTGTTCGAGCCCCCGAGTCTGTGGCATCTTGTGAAGGCAGCCGGGCAGACCCAGACGGGCTGGGAGCTGCTCCAAGAGGGAGGGAGAGGCTGTCCCCGTGGTCCCTGGAAATCCCGAGTAGCCTTGCCTCGTGGGGACATACGTTGGCCGGCTGGGTGGAGGGCGTCCCACCAGAACCGGGTGGGAGGTCTCTCGTGTTCCCCGTAAGAGGAAGTAGCGATTAACCGTCGGTATTTGCAATCCACACGGCAGCCACCGGCCAGTGGCTCTGCAGCCTCCCAAAGTCGACAGCCTCCCTTCTCTCTTTCAGGGCAACAGAGGAGGAACGTTCAAGAAATGGAGTATTTGGGCTGTTTTTTTTTAAAAAACTGAGCATGAAACTCTTTGGGAGGAGTGTCCAAAGTTTTGTGTTAAAAATCTTTTTAAAAAACATGTATTTCTTCCTTCACAAACACCTTTGTCAACCGAGGATTTTGCAGGTCTCGGGGTTTCCACCCTAAGCGTTATTTCTGTAGTATAGACAGAAATACAGTAGGGGAGTCTGACTGAGTGTGGACCGAGTCCGGAATGTCCCTGGGATATCGTTTTCACATCCTAAGCAGTTCGACACCTCTTCTCAGTGTGTGGTCTTGGCATTCCAGCTCTTTCTCTTCACACCCGAGGGAAGGAGGCGTGGCCGCCGTCCGGGTCAAGCACGTGATACTGAATGAGGTCCTCTTGCCTGTGTCATCCTGCTGGCGTCGGGGCCCCAGTGGCCGACACAGACTCCCGCAAGGGAGCCTCCTGGTGGGTCCATGGAGGGATCCGAGTGTCAGGCAGAGAGAAGGATATCTCTAGAGACTCACTTCGGAAGATGGTGAGGGCTTGTTCCCGCGTTTCAGAAGAATCAGCTTAGCCTGAGACAGGCCTGGGACCTGGCACCCTGCGTTGCTCTGCTTGCAACTGGACAAACGTCTTCTGGAACCACAGCCAAATACAGTAAGTCCCTTATACATGGACCTTCAAGTTGCGAACTTTCATAGATGCGAATGTGTGTTCCGTCAACGTCAGGCGTGAGTGACACTGCAGCTTCCTCCGTCTCCTGTTGCTGACGACCCTTCAGCTCTACCATCTCCCACCTCCTCTCCCTCCTCCAGTCAGTAACTCTTCCTGCCTGTTCCCTCGGTGCCAGCCCCTGTGTGCCAGCTGTTGTGCTGGTGCTACTGTACTTTTCAAGGGACTGTACCGCAAGATTAAACATGTTTTCTTATTTTTTGTGTGTTTGTTTTATATGTATTATCTGTGTGAAAAGTGTTATAAACCTATTACAGTACGGTTCTATATAGCCGATTGTGTTAGTTGGGTACCTAGGCTAACTCTGTTGGACTTACCAGCACATTGGACTTAGGAACGCGCTCTCAGAACGGAACTCACTCACATGTAGGGGGCTTACTGTACAAAGAAACCGTGTGGGACTAAAAATAACTGCGAGCATGTGCAGTTGAGGCAAATTCTGGACCAAAAGATACAAAAAGACCAAAAAAAACCCCCAACTGCTACTTCTGAAGAGCCGGGAGCGAAAGCAGGGTACTGGGCATGCCCTCTGCACTCAACACCACAAAGAGGTGGGCAAAACACCTAAGCCGCCGCTCCAGCCCGACCCCTGGACACACCTCTGCCCTCACCCCATATAAGGAACAAGCTCTACCCCCTTCAGAGAGCGAGTGAGCAAGGGAACCTGTTGCTTCTTTTGGCCCCCCTCTGCTGCAGCAGGGACCCCAATAAAGCTTTGCCTGAATTTCTTGTCTGGCCTCTGGTCAATTTCTACTGATTGGGGGAGGCCAGGACCCCTGGTCGGTATCGAGACTCCAGAGAGCCCCCGGGGAGTCAGGACTGAGAAATGACAGCCCTCTTCCGTCGCCTGTCACCGCTCTGTGCAGCCGCTGTCTCCTCCAGCCTGGGGCTCCAGCCGCCTCCAAACTGTTCTCCCCGGAGTCATTCTGCACAAGACGGCTCCAGGGACCTTTATAAAACCCCTGTCCGGTCCTGTCACTTCTGAAACTCAGCAAGGAGTTCTCATTTTTAGATTAAAGTGAAAGAAGCCAAATTCAAGAAACCCCATATTTTATGATTCCCTTGCATGAAATAGAAAAGGCAAAACGGTGGAGACAGAAAACAGATTAGTGGTCGCCTGGGTGGAAGCGGGGAGGTGGGGATTCAGAGTCAATGTGCAGGAAGGATCTTATAAAAAGGTTTCACACTGGTTTACGGTGATGGTCACACAACTTGGTAAATTTACTTAAGAATCGTTGAATTGTATATTTGAAAAGGGTGAGTTATATGATATGCAAAATTAAAAATTATTCAAGCGCCTCATCCTAGCCAGCAGGCACTCCGTACTATGGCTCCTAAAGACCTGTCTCGAGGCCCGTCTTGCCCAGCTCTCCTCACTTTGTACCTTCAGTGCTCTCCCTGGTCCAGAGCCCCAGAGGGGCTACATCTTCCCCGCTCAGCCCCACCTGCACCTGCAAACGCCTGCTGCAGCCTCCGTCTCCCAGAGCACCCCTCCTCCCCTGCCTGCGGGCCCCCACCCGAAACCTGGCTGCTGCCCCTCACAGCTCAGCTCTCCCTGGGGTGGATTGCCTTATCCACCCAGATGAGGTCAGGACCCCGTTCTGTGCCCCTGTGCTACCCCTGGACTTTCTCTTTCATGCCACTTATCACTATTGGCTGAATTATTTCTTTAATGTCTGTCTTCCTCACTAGTACATGAGCCCACAGATAACTTGTCATAGCGATATTGCAGGGCCCAGTGTGGTCTCTGGCACGTAGTAGGATCTCGGAGATGTTAATTGCATGACTAAACATGGGAGTGAGGTGCAGAGGCCATGGGACCAGGCAGCTCTTCCAAGAGCGTATAGGTTTATTCAGAACCCGGCATCACTCAGCGGAAGGCACACTGCAATCTCCCCCAGAGGCTGCGTGACGAGGTAGAAGACGGGGGGTGGTGGGTGGGTGCAGGAGCACACTGTGGGGAGGTTCCCAGGCTGATGACTTGGGGTGGGGGAAGGGGGACTCAGGAAGAGGGAAGGGGGTCTCATCTGGCTGGGTGATCCTGGCTAAGAAACTTAAACTCCCCGGCCTTCTTCTTTTAACCTATGAAAATATTTTTTTTTTTCCTACAAGTCCAGTCATCCTACTAGACCAGGGCTTTGCAACGTCAGGGTGGCCTGGGGTGTGTGTCACAAGGGTAGATTTCTGAGCCCACCCAGGCCTGGACTCTGTGAGTGTGGCTTGGGAATCTACACTTTAACACACTCATGGGTGATTTTTATTTATTTATTTATTTATTATTATTATTATTTTTTGCAGTACACGGGCCTCTCACCGCTGTGGCCTCTCCCGTTGCGGAGCACAGGCTCCGGACGCGCAGGCTCAGCGGCCATGGCTCACGGGCCCAGCCGCTCCGCGGCATGTGGGATCCTCCCGGACCGGGGCATGAACCCGTGTCCCCTGCATCGGCAGGCGGACTCTCAACCACTGTGCCACCAGGGAAGCCCTTGATTTTTATTTTTTAATGCAAGTTCGTGAGGGGACAGAGGACTGTCTCTGCCTTGTTCGCTCACATACCCCCAAACCTAGCGCAGTGCAGCACAGAGACGGCTGCGCCAGGACTATCCCTTGACGGGTGAATAAGTGGATGAGTGAATAACGTGACAGTCACAGAAATGTGCCTAACCGGCTCTGACAAGGTGGGACAGGGCTCCTGCCCCACTATGGTCGACGGGATCTCCCTCCTCTCTTCTGGGCCAAACTCCCCTTTTGTAAAATACAGCACTGGCTGAAGTGACCCATGTGACTTTTGGCCTTAAAAATCCACAGCACCGTGCAATCATGCTTTCTGTTTCCAACCTGCCTGCCTCCTTGAGGGGTGAAAAAGAATCCAGATGAGAAGCGACCACAACCCAGAGATTCGTTGTCGGTTTTAATAGGAGGGGTGAAGTCAAACAGTTTAGAGGAACGTATAAAAAGAGCTTTTCCTTTTTTGCTGGAACAGGATATGGTTTGTGCACAGCACATACATATTAAAAAAATAGAAGCCTCACATCTTACAAACACATGACTGAACACAGTCTGAGTTTTCCTACCCACTAGACCCGAGCTTGAGGACAGCTCTGCCCTGGGACCCAGTCTGAGGTACTGATGGATTTCCAGAAAGGGAAACCCGCGCGAAGATGCAGCTGTCCGGATGGTGGAATTTTGGTAGTTCATGAGGTATCCAAACGTGGGTCTGTGTTAGCTATCCACAGGATGGACTAGATTCGGGATGTTCTGGGCATAATTACCCCTCCCTCCTGTCCTGGGAAGAGCAAACACCAGCTGAGGGGCAAGTGCAGGTTGAAGTGTTTCTATCCATCCTTCCGGCCCTGACCCAAACATTCCTACAATTGGAGTTTTCCTGGGAGGTAGCAGAACGAGTGGCTGGGTTCTTGCTGGGAGGAGAGGTGGGCGGCAAGTATTAGAGACCCACTTCACAGGTGCATGAGTGGCGGGTGGCAGAGAATACCTTCTCTGTGGCAACAGGCACAGAGCCCTTGGGGGAAAGCATTGGGATAGAAATATGTAGGAGTTTTCTAGCTTGTGTCCACTGAAAAGGGGCAAAAAAGGAAAGGGAGGGCAGAGAGGACATCCCGGTATCTTGGAGGCCAGACGCATTTGGTTTGTACTAGTGGCTGTGGTGCAAAGTGGGCCGAGGCAATGGACGTCCAACCCCGGGGAGAAGGAGACCGACAGCTCACGGCCTTTTGTGTTTCCTTACTCCCCCAGGACTCTTGTAGGATCAGAATGTGAAAGATCCGAGATCCTGGACAAGAGAGGACCAGAGCCAGCCTGGGCGGGAGAATCCCAGCTGTTCCGGGTCGGACGGGGCTGGAAGAGAATTCCAGGCCTGGGGAGAAAGCAGTGCGTCTAAAGGAGAGAGGTTTACAGCCTGGATGGAGGAAGGAGAAAATCCCCTTTTTCTTAAGCCATAGAACGGCTCTGACCAGGGGCTTGGGCTATGTGTGCAGGAGGTGCAGGGGACATGGGGGCGGAGAGGAGGCTGTGAAGGAGAACCGCAGGGTATCCATCACAAAGCTATAAGCTGCTTTCCCAGGGAGGTGCAAACCCATCTGGGAAGAAGGGAGGGAAGGGCTTAGAAGGCAGCAAATGGTCACTGTAGTCAACAGCAGGACCTAGAAGGGCATTTTCTGGTTTCCTCTGAGCTCTATCCATGGCCCCGCGAGGAGGGTGCCGATTCTTTGTGGTCCTGGCCCCCAGTTTGTTCTGAGCTAACCTCGTCCCAGCTGGGAAGCCATCTCCAAGGGGTGCACGTGTGTTGCTCTCTTCTTCATCGTTTGCTCTTGAAGAGGGAATAAGGCAGCCTCTAGGCTCCTGGAGCCCCACCTTTGCATGGAGCTGCTAGAGAAGGTTCAGGAAGGAAGAGAGGCCAGTTATCTACAAAACTCTATGAACCAGGGTCAAAGCTCAGGATCTGGGGGAGGGAGGGAGGACCCAAGTCATTCTTAGTACATCCTCAGCGGGAAGGTGGGGACACCCCTGTTCTCCTGCTTCTGCCACCTCTTCTGCAGCCTTTTGGGTCCGATGGGGCAGACAGGTGAGTTCAGAACTCAGATGGGGATCAGCTAGGAGAGGATTCTGCACACCTGTGCTGATGTCACTCTGTTCCTGCCCCGTAACCCACTTCTGTGGATGGGGATTGACTTTCCCTAAGTCTAAGTCACTCACAGGTCAAAGAGAAAGCCCTTGGGAGAATTCCTTTGGATGGGAAGGATTTGAAACAGTCAGTGATGCATCCCTACCTCCAGAGGTGATCTTCAAAGTATGGAACCACTGGTACAGCACGGGCCCTGGTACCAGTGAGAACAGACGTCCAGCTGCCCATAGCGATGCCAACCTTAGACAACCCGTATGCTAGAGCGACGGGTATCAAGCCTGGCTGGCTTTGGGATTTCAGAGTTTCTCATTCTCACTCCTAACACGAGAGATGGGAGTGGACATTTGGGGAAACTCCTGGTCAGGATTTGGACACTTTTATAAGCCTTTAGGGAGTTGCAGGAAAGATCTAACCATCCGGAGGCTCTCGACTCTCTTTAGAAGAGTCCCTCCTGCAAGGGAGCTCAAGACCTGGGAAGAAGGGAACGAATGGTTTGGGACCTGCGACTTTCTTCTCCTCTCCAGATCGCGGTCCATCCGTCCACCCAGCCCTCCTACACGCCCACCACGTCTCATCTGGAACTGACATGCAGCTCAGGTCCTGAGTGCATCTGTTTCTGAGGTACCCTGTTAAAAAAGACCAGTTACTCAGGACAAGACCTCCTGAAAAACAATCAGCTTTGTCCCCTGCCTCCAAGCAGACCTACACTTGAAATATTCTGAACAGTCAAGATGGACCAATTTTCTCCCCCTTCTGCTTGACCAAGACCTCAACTCGGTCCAGTTTCTATCCAAGTTTCGACCACTCTCGTCCTGAGCTCTTACTGTCCGCTCCATCTTCGCCCGCCTTGGTGCAGCCTTTTCTTCCTCCCCCAGCATGTACCTGCCCTGATATGTGCCAGGCAGAGAAGGCAGCCAGTAGGGTGTCTCTTCCTTGGATCTCCAACCTCTATCCTCAGCTCATCTCAGGTGAATCTGTAGATGGCCACCTCTGCAAATGGACAGGTATGTCAAAGGAGAAGGTATTTGCAGCAGATGAAGGCTTGTCTCGCAGGCTGGGGCCCCCGAGAGTCGCAGAGGGTGTCAGCTCATTCTGCAAAGCCACAGACACTGAAAATATCTGTGCTCTGATATGGGTCTCTCTGGTTTCAGGTTTAGGAACGTTCCAATGGTTCAGGAATCTGAAGGCTCCAGGAGGACAACATTTATAGTCGCTTGGGGCACCTCTTCTTTAAATACTCTCAAAGGACAGGAGGCAAGGAGGCATCGTACGGCAAGGAGCTGCTTCAGCTTGGCTGCTCTGTTTCACGGGATTATCACTCCTCTCCTACTGTAGGGGGGTCAGAGGGGGCAAACTCCGGAGGTCACGATGCCCGATTCCGCTGCACCCAGGCACGGAGGTCACGATGCCCGATTCCGCTGCACCCAGGCACCAGCGCATGTGGCAGAGGACGCCCGAGAAGGAAGTGAGAGTATCAGATGAGAACTTGGGTGAGTTTCCTGGACGTTGCTGGAGAGGAATTAGCATCTGTAGGCCAAAGCCTCTCTACTTCCTTCGTGGCCTATTTTGTACCCCCTCACCCCTCGCCAAAGAGGTTGCCATTATTAGGATCCCTGTCATCTGAGGTTAAAATAAGACCTGGTTCAAGGTGAGGAAAAATTATGGGCAGGCAGCCTGGCCCCAGCTTGTTCTCGAGCTACGCGCAGCACTGACTTCCAGGCAGAAAGGCTCTCTCTAGAACACTCAGTCTCTCCCGCTGCTTCGAGCAGGTTTCCCCCCCGCTGCCAGAGACGCTGCTCTACCCTTTCCTCCAAGAGGGGGATCCCTTCTCCCCCAGCCTCCCTGACAATGTGTCCCAGTGTCCCCAGAGCCCTCACATGCAGGATGCCCGGAGTACCTGCCCACTCTTTCTGGTCAGCAGCTAAATCTTACTGCCTGTCACCCTGCCCTCCCTGCACTTAGAGGACAGCTGCTGCCCCCACCTCCATGCAACCCGCGCAGTCAGTGGCCTCTGAATGGAAGGGTGATTGGAAAGAGGCAGAATGGGAGCACGTGTCAATCCTGCTGGGTTGACAGGTGACATTCCTGTAGGCAGATTCCTGAAGCGATGACCCCGGGAGGAAGAAGCCTGCTGTTCCGAGATGCCTTGGTTCTGACGATATATGCCAAGATGTATAGATATACATCAGTACACACACAGGCTTCCTCCCTGCCTTTTCCTGTGTCCAGGTCCCACCCCCCAAGTGTCTCTGGACCGTCTTTCCTCAGATGAGGTCAGAGCATGGGATCCATTGCCATTCTAGGATGCCGGCTGCAACCCCTCGCTTGGGTGGGTCACGTGTCATGGGGTCCGGTGGCCAAGGGAACCGACTCAGGTCCCCCCAAGCATAAAAGGAGCCCGAATAGGGGGGCATGGGGGGAGGGGGGAATTGTTCACTTGTGCAAAATTCCAACAGAAAAGACATTGCTTTCCACCTGTGAGCCTTCCTTCAGGGTCCTTACATCCTGGGGAGGAAGTGAGTGACGGTCATGGTCGGGGACACCTTGCTGCCCCGCTTCACCCGTCCGTATTTGCTCAGTGCGATGTAGGTGCCTCGGTACAGGTCTGACTCATAGGCGTTGTAATTGTTGGGCAGGAGGGTCTCTCTGAATTTGCACTCCTCTTGGAAGCTGGGCTGTGAAAGAAATGGACAAACGGCAGAGCATCAGTGATAAATGAGGCCCAGCAGGCACGTCTGCGGTGGGTCCCTCGCTTTTCCATGTCAGACAGCCTCCAGGAGCTCTGGGCCATCCTGGGTGAGCAGAAACATGGAAGCTGAGAACAGGGGAGCCTTAGCTCTCATGGTTCCCCCTCACCTCCTCTCCTTCACGATGAGGAAGCCCAGGCCCGAGGATGGGGGCGGACAGCCTGTGTCACAGGGGGGCTGGGGGTTCTCCTGACTGCCAGTCCCGGACACTTTCTCCCAAGAACAGGGATGATGGTTTATTCAGAGAAAGGACCAGGGAAGGATAAAAGAAGCTGTTTTCTCAAGCCCACTGCGAGAGGACCTAGTGCAGCAGGATAGAGAGCTGGGGTTTGCCTGGTGGCTCTAGTTGTGTGACCTTGGGGCAGGCGCCTCCCCTCCCAGCCTGATTCCCTTTTCTGCAAACCATATGGTTGCGGAGCATTTGGTGGGGGGGGGCCCGGTGAGTGGAGGGCGAGATGGATGGCTTCCTAAGTCCTTCCCAGCACATCTGTTTAATATGGTAACTGTCTCTCCACTTGTGTTCCCTCACCCTGTCTCTCCCAGTTTAAGGTCCAATTTGCTGCCCCGTAAAGGGGCCCATTCTCGGTTTTGACTTTGAGCCCAGAGTGGGGGGCACTGGCCTCAGTTTTTAAAACCACACGAACTGGAGCGAACTATGCACACAACTTGAATCTTGCTTCTTCACTGAACAATACGCCCAGTGCCTCCTAGGCGTCCACAGGTCGCCAGGGAAGGGCAGGGACAGAGATGGCGAGAAGCAGCAACTTTTATGGGGGAAAGAACCTGGTTCCCTCTGTGACCAGCAGTGCCAAGGAGTCGGGGGCCGGTGGTGAATCACCCCCTCCAGAGCGTGTTGCGTGAGGACCACCTGTTCAGAAAATGAGGGCCAGGCTTCCTGTCACACATCAACAAGTTCAGCCCCAATAAATCACCCAAGTCTTCCTTTATTCCTAGAAAAGAGAGCCACTTCCTCCCAAGCCCACCCGGGTCACTGCCCCTGACTGGAGGGGTTTCTGGGCTTCCGATGGGGGTCGCTCCCTGGGAGCCAGGAGGCCTGGGATCTAGTCATTAAAGAAATGTAGAATGAAACCGAAACAGAGCTGAGCATTAACACCCGACTCCTTCCTGCCGACGGAGGCCATCGGCTATAAAAAACCCACTCGGTGGCTAAGCGGCTGTGCTAGGGGTATCGCCTGACCTTCTTAAAAGGAATTATACTGTGAGCACCTGGCCTTGTCAGCCGTAGGGTGGACGAGAGCCTCTTCCTGTTATGAACGGAGGAGGATGACCCAGCTCCTCAGCGCTCCGAGTGGACCAGTCCGGCAGCACGGAAAACAGTGTACCATCCCAGGGGACTCCCGGCTCCCCGAGACAAGGACTGTGTCCTGTTGAGCACGTGATGCTGAATGAATGATGGTCTAATTGGAACGGCACAGCCACCCTGCCGGGGTGGCTTCTCTTTGATGCAGCGAGAGCTGGCAAGGGACAGGCGGCGTTGTTTAGGAAACACGTCGGGTAGTACCAGTCGCTGGTCCCTTCTGCCCCAGCTGAATGAACGCATCCCCCGTTTCCCTCTCACGCCCCTGGGTTACTGTGTACAGAGCACCTTCCTGTGATGTTAATTTGCTTGAGATGACCCTGCGAGCTTCCACCAGCCATATCAACTGGCTTCTGAAGACCATGCCAGGAAGTTCTGTTTTCACAAGTTTTCATCTCCCTTGTTATGGGTGCTCAAAAACACTTGTAGAATGAAGAAAGGAATGTCCCAAAGTAGGAAAAAAAAAAACTCATCACAATAGGCAAAGAGCATGTGACGATTCACCTCTTACATAGCTGTGTGAACTTGGCAAATGATTTTACCTCCTAAGCCTCAGCTTCCTCATCTGTAAAATGGGAACAGTGAGAATAATTCCGTCCTAGCACTGGAGGGAGCACTCACTGAAATAATGCACGGAGAGTCCGTGGTATAGTGCCTGGCACACAGTAAAATAAAAAATAATTTGTATTGCCATAGTGATGCTTCTCTAATTGATTCATGAATTAGTTTAAATTAAAAGCACTAAAAGACTTTGTCTTACCCGGGATCATCATTCCTGTAAAACTTGCTGTGGGTTGCAGGACAATTTAGCTTCTAAGTCCTGCATTTGTTGCCTGAGTGGCAGTAGGAGGTGAGCCGGGGGGAGGAGGGCACCGAGCTGACTGGGCTCCGGCCCTGCACCCCTGGGGCCTCTCTGGACATGGGGGGTCGGGGCAGCCACAGGACCTAAGGTTGTCGATGGGCAAAACTCTGGAGCAACAGCACAAGGGAAAAATAAAGTTGGGATCAATGGTAAAAGTTGAGTAGAAGTAATGCTACATGGATTAACAGTCTGGTGTGGATCAACTAGCAAAATGCAGTCCAGAAGTAAATCCAAACAGGAGCATAAAATAAAGGTGGATCTGAAATGAACATAAAATACAAGTGGCATTTCCAATCACTGGCGAAAACGTGGTGTTGGAAGAACTGGATGCTATCTTTAATAATCATCATAGTAATAGTAACAATAATAAAGTTTGATGTATGATGTTATTCCTAACCCTAAAATAAATTCCAAAAGGAACAAAGATTTAAATGTTAAAAAGAGAACCTTAAGGGGAGTTCCCTGGTGGCCTAGTGGTTAGGATTCCAGGCTTTCATCGCCGAGGCCCGGGTTCAATCTCTGGTGGGGAGACTGAGACACCACAAGATGCGTGGGCACAGCAATAAGTAAGTAAGTAAATAAATAAATAAGAGAGAGAAAGAGAAGAGAACCTTAACATAAGTCATAAAGGTCTTTCTAAGTAGGACACAAAAAACTAGAAGGCATTTTAAAAACCAAGATGAATAAATTAGACTTCTGCTTGGAAAAAAATAATCACCTTAAACAAAATAAAAATATAAATAGCAAACCGGATTAAAAAATATTTACAATGCATTATATTTTGTAATATATTTTGCAATAGATTGAATTTTGCTACTATATCCAGATCCCTGAACTCACTGAAAAATGGACGTTTATGAACAGACAGTTCACAGAAAAGGAAATCCAAATAGCATTTAAACATAAGAACATGTGCCTAACAGAGAAACATCAACCATAACTGTGTGATCACATTTTTAATTGTCAGGTTGCAAAAAGAACACTGTTTGACAATGGGCTTTCATTGATGAGGGCAAGGGGACTAGGAATTGTCATTTGCTGTCTGTTGGTGTGTATATTATTATAACCTCTATAGAGGGAAATATTACAATATTTATCAGAATAAAATAATAACTACAGCTTTGGATACTAATTCCACTTCTAGGAATTTATCTTACTGGTTCACTCCCACTCATGTACAAAAGTCACGTACCGCGGCATCATTTGTAATAGTGAGAGACCAAAAACAACCTAAGTGTCTACCAGGAGGGCAGTGGTTAGCTTAGTGATGGGAGGGCCACCCAATGGAATACTCTCAGCCATAAAAAATGGGACCTCCTTGTGCACGGATTTGAAACGGTCTCCAAGGCGTATTGTTCAGTGAAGAAGCAAGATTCAAATTGTGTGGACAGTCTGCCCCAGTTCGTGTGGTTTTAAAAACTGAGGCCAGTGTGAGAACATGCACAGGGACATTGGGACTTCCTGGGACGGTAGGTACACAGGGCCTGGCAACAGTGGCTGCTCTGGGGAGGGTCTGGCTGGCTTCAAGACAACAGTGAGAGGGAGACTTCATTTCCGTGGTATATTCTTCTGCACGTTTTCCCCCTTAAACCACGTCCATGTATTACCTCGTCATGCTAGTAGACTACTGAAAACGGGAAGGGAATTCAGGATAGAAGATGGGCCAGAAAATGGAGTGAGAGAACCTTGGCATCAGAGACTGGTCCATTCTCTCCCCCGGGTCCTGTCCTTCCCCCTGTCCATCCCCTGCTTCTCTCCCCTCTGTTCTAACTGTTTATGACCCTGGAGAGCACCCTGCCCACCAGTTTCCAGGAGACTTCATTTCTGATCTGGATGGTGGTCAAGGGAGAGGTTTTGCGTGTGGTTTGCAAACTCTAGAGAGGAATGCAGATCTTGGGGCGAAGGACCTGGGGGGAGTGGGGGTGGGGGAGGGGGAAGAATTGAGCGATTGGGGCCAGAAACTCAGGGCATTTGCCCCGATCCTCTGATCTAGAATGTGTCCAGTTGAAGAATCCAGCCTTTGCTAAGGTCTGAGTCTCCTAAAACACATTCGTTTAAATGTGCAAGACAGTGGTTGCAATATGCACTGTGCTTTGTTCTCTGATCATCAGATTTTGATTATTCAGCCCCCAACCCCAAATTTTCAAAAAGTTTCTGACCTCTGTTTCTTTCCCCTAGCCTACCTCACGTCCCTAGCCTTCCCCCGAATTCTGTGTCCATCTGAAGTGAGAAAGGAGAAATGGGTGAAGTTTGCTTTGGAAGCCTCTCTACCTCGCCCTTGCCCGCTCCTCTCCGCACCCCTCTCCACCCCATCCTTGGTGTTCAGGTGGCCACGCAGCTGGGGGCGAGGCCAAGACCATGGCCCTGAACTGCTCCCTGCAGCCCGATGCTCCACTGCCCACACGGATGCTCGAGCTGGCATCAGGACCAGCCCCTCGATTCATCTCTCCATTCGTGCCCCTGCGCTGAGTCTCATGACTCAGGAACGTTGGCTCCTGAGCTCTGCTGAGAAAAGCCAAGTGAACGACATGTTAATAAAAGCAGCTACCGTATATTATTACTTGAACAAATGAAAATAATTCCCCCAGATCACATTGCCTGGGCCTGCCGGGTCCCAAGCTCCAGCGTGACAATGTCTTAAATTCCACATAGGTCTAATCAGACTTATGAGGACCCAAACTCTAAAGCATTTAGCTCTCGCAGTGGAGAAGGGCGTTTTGCAGGGGGGTACATACAGGGGTGTCTCTCGGCGTGAGTTACCTCTGGCGGAAATGCCCCTTAGAGTCTGCGGTGGACCAGACATCCATCCCATCTTGTCTTTGGTCAGTAGGTCACCCGGACTAATGAAAGTGTCTTTTTATCTTTAAAGTTCTTCCTTCTAGGCCTGCCCTGGGCCACTTGCCCCCGTTACTCCTGGCTGCGTGTGTGCATGGGAGCTGGGGAGGGGTGTGGAAGGATAAGGAGGCGGGTGGTGAGAAAAAACCAGAAAACTCCTTGTCCTAAGACCCTTTCCTCCTGCAGTCCCTGACTGCTACTTTTTTGGTCCTTAGCTGAAATGGAGAAATAACATCTCCCGGCTCTGAAGACATCTGTCTGTTCTAATCCCCGTTCCTAACACACAATTGCACCGGCAATTTAGAAGTGTTTGAAGATGTCTCCACCAGGCCTATCATGGCTTCTCATTCCTGTATCGCTCTGGGTAGCAGGCGGGCTGCAGACAAAGCTGTTTGTGAGACTGTCTGCAGGGTCCCCCGGGCCCCTCGCTGTAGCACCAGCCCCTCCCTGCTCAGGGGTCCCATCTCCCAGCCCTTCCACATAGTCTAACACCAGGGACCCTTTGCCTCATCCCCTCAGGAATGCGCTCTCCTCTAGGGGAGGGGTGCAGCTAACTGAGCGAGGGCAGGCAAAGACTTGGTTCTCCCCTCCCCAATTGTAACGTCCTAGGTAACAGTCAACGGCCTCTGTGGATGAAACAAATGCTGTGCTTTACCAGTTGTCACAGTACTATTGATGAAAAGGATGGAGACACAGTTATAATTAGTAAAACCAAAATCGCTCAGAAGCATAACTGATTCTAAAGCACAGGGATTCTTACAGAACCACTGCCAGGTGGAGATCTTTGATTTTTATCTTTTAAATTTTAAAAAGATCAAGGAGACTGGAACTCACTGATTCCTGCCTCGGTCCACATCAGAGAGAGCAGAGATAGGTCTGGTCTCAGAGAGGGTCACAGGCTTTGCCCGAAGTAAGACAGTAGCTGGAGGGTGGGCGGGCAGGAGCTGGAACCCGGCTCCTAGTCTGCACACCAGGTGCGCTTCTGCTGCCGGCCTACGGGCATCACCTGCTAAACCTGGAAGCAGGTTTGCACACAGCCCTGATTCACCTGAGACCCCGGAGACCCACGGTCACATCTGCGAAGTGAGGATAAAGGTCAGATGCACCTCCCAGGGGTGCTGGGGGATAGTGTGCTCAGAAAGCATCCCCAGGGCGTCTGACAAACAGGAGGTGCTCAATACAGGGGAGCTACTTACACTGTCGAAACACTGCCACAGGCTCTGCACCCCTCTTTCCAAGGGATGAGACCTGCGGGAGGCACCTAGGTGGGTTTTCCTGGCTCTTATTTTCCTACTTTGCCCCTGCTGCCCCCTCCTTCCCCCCCAGCATGGTTCCCCTCCCCCCAGGAGAAACCCCACTGAGGGGCCATAGCAGCTGAGCCACAGGGAGGGGAGGCAGCTCTTGGGGCTTACAGGGAAATAGTGTGAATGAAATCATCACCCAGTGGGAGTTTTTCCAGCTCTTTGGATCAGCTGGCTTTGGATTTTAGACTGTGATAATGGCCCCTGGGGGCGTAGCAGGGAGTGGTGCCCGGGCTCGGGGCGCCAGGGAGGGCAATCTCCGCCTCCAAGAAGGTGCCTTTGGGCCAGATGCTCCCGGGTGTGTGTGGGGGGGTGGGTGGGCGGAGATTGGGGTGTAGACCGTGGGCGGGGCTTCTCCTACGGAAGCCCCCGTTTTCCGGGACTCCTCTCCTTTAGTGAGCCCTGCGGACCCCCTTTGAAGTCATCTGCCCAGGAATGAGGGGTCAGGGGCGTCACCGACATCAGGGGTCCGCCCACACTTCAGAGTTGCCCCCTTCCTCGTGCTCCTTGAACGTTCTATCCACCTGCAGCACTCTCGCTGTGAGGTCCCCTGTTCCCAGTCTCCCCGGCTTCTCCTACGGGGAGCCCAGGTTTCAAGTGGGAAGTGGATGCATTGACCTTCTCTTTGCACCCTTTCCCCAGCTCACAGTTCAATTTCTTTCAGAATAAGGAGAAAAAAATACTAAATAGCTTGTTAATGAAGGTGGCAGAGATAAGGGTTGATGTAATTGGTGATCCTTCCAAAAGATTCACCTTGCGTAGAACCCCAGAGCCAACAGCCTCTGTTCCTGGCTCTGCAACGAGTGGGATTCCAGGCACTACGCCGGCTGCAGGGAAGGGGCTCTTTGGGGCGACCCACCGCACAGAGCGGGCACTTACTCCACCAGGGCCTCCTTGGTTCCAGCTGCTTCGTCCTCTCCATCACATACGCAGAGAGCGGTGAAAAGGGCGTCTGAGAATCCCAATCTCATGGCTGTTTCATCTCCCAGCAGCCCTCAGCACTAGTGTAAGCCTTGAGCAGGGAGGACTCCTTGCCCTCGGAAGGCCAGGTAGCCTGGTGGTCCCTAGCCTGCCTGCACCTCAGAAATACCTGGGAAACTTACAAAATAAAAACAAACCGATTTGCAGGCCCCCATTCCAGCCCTACTGACTAAGCATCTCTGAGGAAGGCCCCCAGAAATCTGGACATTTAACAAGTTACCAAGGTGATGTGGATGCAAATGGTCCTCCCACAAGACCCGCCTCTAGGAAAGAGGGGTGCAGAGCCTATGGCAGTGTTTAGACAATATAAATGACTCCCCTGTATTGAGCACCTACTGTTTGTCAGGCGCCCTGGGGATGCTTTCTGAGCACACTATCCCCCAGCACCCCCAGAGGTGCATCTGACCTTTATCCTCACTTTGCAGATGGGACCCTGGCTCTCCCGGGTCTCAGGTGGATCGGGGCTCTGTGAAAACCTGCCTCCGGGCTCGGCAGGTGATGCCTGCAGGCCAGCAGGAGGAGAGCATTTGGCGGTACAGACCAGGACCCTAGTTCCAGCTCCAGCCTGCCTACCCTCCAGCGCTTGCCTTCAGAGGCCCACTGATTCTAATGCACGTCTTGTCTCCACGTAAACGAGCCCAAATGGAGAGGTGTTAGCACTGTAGATCACAGGCCGAGGTCACCCGAGCACCCCGTTTGGGTATTTCACAGCCCTGGTCTGTTGGGACAGCCTCCCCGGACCCCAGCACCGATCCCAGATGCCCCTGTTCACATTCAGATCCTGTCTGTCCCCACGCAAAGGTAGAACAGCCCTCCAAACCCTCCCCATAAATAGCCACTCTGCTATTCCTTGACCACGGCTCAGAGGTCTTCCTTTCTAACCTTATTTCTGCCGAAAGAACACCCAGTTTCTTTGCCTTCGTAGGGATGCTTTCCCAGCCCATATTTTGCAATATGCCAAATTATGGGCTGAGAGGCCCAGGAACGAGGGGCTCAGAGAGATCAGAGATTTCGGTAAATATGGAAGTTGGTGAGGTTAACCAAAGTGCTAGCATTGACACACACACACACACACACACACACACACACACACACACACACACCGCCAGGGATGCCCTGTGATGGGAGAAGGCAGGGGGTGGGATCTGGGGCCAGCCAAGAGAGTCTTATATCCCCTAGGGGAGGATGCTTCTCCAGCTCTTGGGATCAGAGACCAGAGGACTTAAAACCTTAAAGTAAAATGTCCACGCACTGATGAAGGCGAGGAAAAGAGCTTCGTGTCTTTCCCTCCTGCTGTGCTCCAGGCTGGGGGCCTCGGAGGGTAAGCCACGGGAACAGCGTGCCCAGGCTGAAAGACAGGCCTGCTTCTCTGGGCCTCTCCTGCTCAGGACCTGACCGTAAGCCTGGACAAACAGCTTTATGACAGAACGTGGGTTTCCCTCGGACCCAGAAGCCCTCTGAGCTACGGTTTCTGTCTTAAATGACCTCAGCACATTTAAGCCTGCACCGAGGCAGGGTCAAAGTGAGTCAGGGGCGGTGGGTGGGATCAGGGAAGACATGGTCCAGCGCACAGGCTGACTCACCGTGCAGCTAAGAAGGTACAAGCCCTTCACTCGCACCAGCTCCTTCCACAGCAACCCCCCGACCCGTTCTAGATAAATATTGACGCCCCTCTTCAAGATTTTGCATTATTTTCTTCAATTGCGTAATCTTCAGGCCTCGTACAGCCTGAAGCTTCCCCTGGCCTGATGAACTCACCGTGGTGTATAATCTTCCTTTACTGTTCATGGCAACGAAGAGGGCGCTTTTCACCCCAAAGAGACTCACCACGCCTCGCTCCACTGTGGAAATCTCCAGCAGGCCTGACAAAGAAATGGGAGCTGCATTACCCCAGGCTTGTGCAAATCAGAGCAGGACGCCAACCTAAAGGTGACCCTCCAAGGGCATCTAGGCCCATCCCCCTGCTTCTAGAAAGTCAGACCCTCCATCACCTCCACCCTTGATCTCACTTTAGGAGATCGGCTGCCAGGCTCGGCCAGTCCTGCTACAAATCCAGTTCGGCAGGGGAAAGTTCTGACGTCAGAGTTAGAGTTCACGGTGGCCACTTAGGCATCTACCTAAAGTCAGCTTTGAATCTGGGCTTAATCACACCACATCCTTGACGTGGGTAAAGGAAGTGAATTCTGATTAGCTTTGTTAACAATGTATACTCCTCATGTTTCAACAAATAGCCCATCTAATCTTGCAAACAAAAAAAATCTTGCAAACACTGGATCCTGCAGCCCTATCCCCTCCTGGGGAGAGCCCATCTAGGCAGCAACCCATCAACTTGTAGGACAGAGGGGGCAAGTTGAAATAAAAAAAGGATGTGCTTCAGCTGGAAATTTTGCAAACAACTTGCCTTTCCTCTCAAAGAGAAAAGCTAAATAAAAAGCAGCATGTGTCTAATTTGGTCCAAGCATCCTCACCGGTTCTCCCAACCCTTGTGTCATGGCTCCCCCAGGTTGGGGGTTCCCTGTGGTCCTACAAGGCCATGGCTGGGCCCATAATGCTGAAGGAATAGTGCCTCAGGGGCTCTGTGGGGTGATGGCAGAAGACACCAGGATGCTCGGACCTCAGCACACTTAAGCCTGCACCGAGGCAGGGTCAAAGTGAGTCAGGGGCGGTGGCTAAGCTTATGGGCATCCATAAGAATAACGCTTCCCCCTTCATAACAGGACTCCAGGCACCAGAGCGAGGCCCCTCCATCCTTTATCCCTGCTTGAGCCCCAGCCCCCAGCTTCCCAACTGGTTGCAACTGGCACTCACTGTAGGGGTTCTCCTCGTGGGTGCCACTGATCCGGCCGTCGGGGGGCACCTGGAGGTGGAAGCCGATGCCCACGTTGCAGTAGAGCCTCCGCTGCCGCTTGATCCCCACCAAATAGCCACTTTCCCAGTTCACGCCGGCAATCTCTCCAGCCAGCCCAGCCCGAGACCTGGACAGCAGGGTGCCCCAGCCCCTCGAAGCCAGCAGAGTGCTGTTGGCGCGGGAGCCCGCAGGAGAGGGCACCACCATGCCCACGAGGACGCCGAGGAAGATGAGAGCCCGTAGCGTGCCCTGCAGACGTCCTGCTCCCCGGGACATAGTGATGAGCTGCCTCTGTCCCAGGGCCATCCACCTTGCCTCTCAGGCACGTGGTCAGAATTAATGGCCCTAAAAATACCGCCCTTCTTGTTTTTCTCCCCTCGGCATGGCGGCAGGGGCTTATTTTTGGAAGGCAGTTGAAGGCTGCTGACATGAAACGAAAGCCTGCTCTGGGCACTCGGGTCTGGAGCAGAGGGACCCAGGCTGAGCCGCGGCCGGTACGGACCATGGCTTGGGGACGCGGTCTAGCTGGCCCGCTCACTCCGACCCGAGTTGATTCTGCTTGATTTGACCTATCTTTATAGTTCAGCAGCCTGGCCCGCCCCGCCGCCCTTCATCACCCTGACGTCAGCTGGCCTGGCTCACTTATCCAGGGCTGTAACACTAACCTGCTGCTGGGCCTGGCGGCCTCCCCAGACCCCCGGCACCCAGGGACGCTGGGAGCCACTGTCATTCCAACTATGAAGCAGGAATGAAGTGAGCAGTGAGCATCTCTGAGGGGAGGGAGGAGTTGGCCAGGCGCCCCGGGGAAGAGGGAGGCCAGAGGCCACCCAAGACCCAAATTGGGCAGAAGTTCTTGGCCTGGCAGCGCTGGCTTCCTTATTTAGAGGGCAAAGGGTAAAGACAGGGATGGGGCAGTCTTGGTGGCAGGCAATGACCGGGGCACACGCATTACCCTATTCATGGAAAGAGCTCATGGTTGAGGGCCATAGAGCCTGGGGGGATGCTGAAAGGCTGAACCCCTTTAGCAAGAGAGGACAGAGATGGGGGTGCGGTATCCAAGGGTCCTGAGGATCGTGGAGGGTGGCAAGGCTAGGGTTGGTCTTCTGCTCTCCGTCCCGGTCATGGAATTCACCCAGCCAACAGGGTGGAAGTTGCGTCTGGCCCTTGCCATGGCCACTGGCCATTTTCCTATCTGGGCTCACCCTTGGCATCTGACTGATGTCATTCATTCCCATTTTACAGATGAGGAAGCTGAGGTGGGGAGAGCTTAAGTGACTGAGCTTAGGTGCTGAGTAACCATAGCTAGTAAGTGGCAAAGCCAGAACGTATAAAGTCGGCCTGAGTCCAAAGCCTGTGCTTTTAACCTCTGCGTGATGGTCTGATGTAGAAGTTAGATTTGCACGGAGTCTACTGAGCTCATTACATACCGAATTACACGGAATTATTTCAATAGCCCAGATGCTTCGCCCAGCATCCGTGCTGGAGGCTGTGGGCAGCCTGGGGAAGCTCCTAGGATGAGGCACACTGCTCAGGGCCTGCCCTGAGACCCCACTCCCTCCCCTCTGATTCCAAGCTCCTGCCCTGGCCTGGGTCCCGGCCTCCAGTCTGTGGAGTCTACCTGCCTTCTGCCCCTCTGCCTGGTCCATTGGATTGATGTCTTGCTTAGGATTTCCACCAAGCCTTGCATGTCAGTTTTGCCCAGATCCCTTGAAGCTCAGGGGATTTCTCTCATTACCTTCAGCTGCTAAAATGTGGGGACTTGGGGAGGGAATATACGAACCTCTGCTTAGCATAGCCCTCAACCATTGGGCCCCTAGCTTCCCTACCACCTTTCCCCTCCCTGTCACCTGCATTACCTCACACCCAGCTTTATCATCACCAGCACCATCTTTCCCACAACAAGGAAAGACTGGCACCCTATGGGCATAGGTAGGCCTTCGTTAGAAAACTAGTAAAAAAAAAAACAAAACATAATTAAAAAGAAAGCATCTCTCTGCAAAGTAGGAGGGTCTTGAATAATCCAAAGGCAAAACTGTCAAAAAAAGAACCATCATGTTGGATTTCCAGCTAGATTTCATACATTTACATTTTCTTGCATGCAAGAGCAGCAGAGACACTCCCTTACCCGTGTTCACTTTGGGATCTTGTGTTCATGATGCTGGTGTTCTGACTTAAGGAAGAGGCAGCCTGGCAGCCTGTTGGATGGTGAGAAGTTAGTCTGAAATGAACACTTGCCTTGGATGATTGGAGAGGTGCTCAACAGCAGGGGGTCAGAATCTCTGCGGATTTCTTCTTGGAACCCATCCACTGTGGGACCACTTTGGAGGAGAGATTAAACCATGACAAGGTCCGTGTCAAATATCAACAAAAATAGTGACTCTCTTTAGATTCATTTAGATTCTTCGGGCAGAGATCGTGGTTGGCATCTTATAAAACAAAGGGCTTCAGAATGGGGGACGCCTGGATCTGAATGCCAACTCCATCACTTGTTAGCTGTGTGACCTTGGAAAAATTTTGAACCTCTCTGAGCCTCGTTTGTTCATCTGCAAAATGAGGCCATTACTACATAGGGTTATTATATATTAGCAACAATACATGCAAAGGGCCAATGCAGAGCACAATACAGTCTTTTCTCAGAAACACATTGAAAATCACTCATCCAGTTAAAGGAGGACAAGCCCAAAGTGAGAAGGACCATCTCTCATCTCAAGGATGGGAGAGACACATGGCCTTCTAGTTCCTAAATGCTGGCCACCCAAGCATATACTGTGATGGCTGCCAACATATGCAGAAGCAGGCAGCTCGGATTCCTAAAATATTCTGAAAACCAGTAATAGCCTTGGTATTGTCCCCTGTTAAATATAAAACTTAAGTAATTCATTCTATTAAAAATCCTGGGTCTTATTTTTATCAGGTGATGTGATGAGGCCCCGTTCTAAATGTGCCTCCTGGGTCTGTCTCCATAGCAACTCCACTGTGCTCATATATCCATAGATTTTTCCTGAAGACTAATTAAGTTGACAACTGCTAGGGCTTCTTGGTTTACCAGATTTGCACCTGACTCTTCTCCCGGGGCTTAGGGACCCCTATGGATGTGAAGTGATAGAGAAAAGAGTAACAGGTGGAGGAGGCCTCTCTGCGGACCCCTCTTTCACATAGCTGTCCAGCAGCCTTTGGGGCTGTCAGTCACTCTCTCTGGATGAGCTGAGAGTTGATGGAGGTGAGCGGGGAAAAATGCTAATGTCCGCCTCCTTCCACAACATGTCCTTGTCCCCAAGTGGGGTACCACGCGGTAGACATTGGTCAAGTTTGACCTGCCCAGCCGAACGGCTTCTGTCACAACCAGGCAGGATGCCTTCTACGCCTCCTGGTTATTACATAAAGAACTTCAAACACCTCAGGAGTGACCATAGGGAAAGCACAGAAACTTGTGAAAAGTGCTGCTATTTGTACTTTTTACATTTAATTTAGAAGAAGTAACATTTACCTTTTTCTTTCTTTCTTTTTTATTTTATTATTACTTTTTGGCCGCACCACACGGTATGCAGGATCGTAGTTCCCCAACCAGGGATCGAACCCGTGCCCCCTGCAGTGGAAGCGTGGAGTCTTAACCACTGGACCTCCGGGGAAGTCCCAACATTTGCCTTTTTGGAATGACAGAAAGTAGTTCGGAAATTACAGAAAATTATCAGGTAGTCAACAAAATAGCTGTGTTTAGCGTCTTCCTGTCTTTTACCTTGGTCTTTCAGAGCTACCTGGGCAATGGGGCTGCCGCCTCACTTGCTCTCTCCCTCTCTCTTGCCCAGAAACCCATGCACCCACACCTGGTGTTCAGAGGTAGCGTTTGATCAGGGGTCTTGATGGGTCTGAGATGGCCACGGGCAGAGGGGAGAGACTAGGAAGAACCCTGTCCAAAGCTGACATTTAGGGCCCGTGACACTTGCTACAAGTGGGAAGATTCAAGAGAAAACGTTTCCAGAACAAAGGTCCCCAAGTTGGACTTCTGTGGGAGGGGTCAGGTCTTACCTTGCTAGCTGGTCCCTACTTTTCACTTTCCTAATACTCAGCTCTCCCCAGGTCTCACCCACGTAAGTGGGACCCCATTAGAAGTCTAATCCAAGTTTCCCTAGTTCTGACCTCTACCAGCTTAGGTGGAGCTTCACCCCACTATAAGTGGCCCCAAATTATTTCTAGAAGTCCAGAGCACGCCTCATGCATGTGGGTGAGCACTGTCTGGGACAACCACAGGGCATCTGCCAGGACCCCCATCCACCAGCCTTCCACCTCCTGCTGGGCCGCTGATGGGTATTTCTTTTCCTTCCAAAGCTGAGGACCCCAAGCCCTCAAGGAGCCAGTGCTGCTTTATGTTCTGTTTCAAAACCAGGACGAGTATCTCTGTCCCTTCCTATAGTGATGCTTGTTAGAGGAATGTCTGACCAGAACTACTTGTGCCCTGGGGATTTCCTCTTTGGGATTTTATATTCAGACTCCTTGCCTGCAGAGGACCAATCTTCGTTATGGGTCAAGCCCATAGGTTGGGCTCCCTTTTCCTCCAGGATGGGTTCTTTCTCAGGGGGCCCCTCAAAGCTCAGGCAAATAGACTTCTGCTGGGGCCAGCCCACCCGTGGTCTAGATGCATAAGTTCAGACTAGAGACCTTGCTCCTCTCCCAGCCGTCCTCTGCTGGGAAGGGGTGAGGCTGGATGCTCAACTTTGTGGCCTGGTTGTCCAAGGATTTGCAGAGTCTGCTGGGAGGGGCCATGTCATCCTCTCCACCCCAGAAATCACCACCGTGGGTTCAAGTGCTTCCTGATCGACCCCCTTCAGTCTGAAACCCATCCTACTGTGTCTCCCAGTCTCCCTCTCTCTCTGTTTCTTCTCTCTGGGTCTCACCCGCTCTCTCTCCCCCCACCCTCTCCCCTCTCCCCCTGACTATTCTCCAGCCTCATATACAAGCCTAGAGTGTGAGCCAACTGCCAAGGAGGCAGAACCTCAGGGTTGGTTGACCACCAGGGCCAAACAGCTCAGCTGAATTTGCAAAGGGGCAGAGGAGTCAGATAACTTTCTGGAACCTGGGAACGTAAGGGATCTTGGCTTGGCTCAGAGTTTTGAGGTTTCTCAGATTTGCTTTTCATGATCATCATCGAATAATACCTGCTGCGGGCTGAGGCAGGGGTGCACCCTGCCAGCCACCGTACAGAGTTATGTAAAAGACTCAGCCCTCAGTGGCAGGCTCCCCAGTGTGGCAGGACAGGCCCTGCATGTCCTGACCTCTGCTGGCCTCTCTTGCTCCATCCTCTGCCTCTCCCTCTTTGGGAATTTTTGCTGGAATGGCCCCTGGCTCTTGGGCA